CGGTGTTATTGTGGATTACACAAACCTCATGCCTCCCAGAGTGTTGGGGAAAAAATGACAGAAACGCAACAGCGTCTACTGTCGCTCCTGAGCAATACGAGCCGAACCCCAGGAGTGTCAACTTCACCGCCAAAGTAAAAACAAGGTTCCACAGGCAAAGCAACCAGCAACCGGTAACGCAGGACATCCCCCATTCATACATGTGTAACATTCACCACAGCAGGACGTGCGTCGACTGTACCCGGTTCAAAAATGACCGCAAAAAACAGAACCCAAGGATGCCAAACGTACTTGTTGTAATGCACTGTGTAATTCTTTAACTCGCGCCGCATGTCCTGACCCCGCTTCCAGCATTTGTCCGATTTCGGATCAAAAAGGCTATGATTCTCTGCGTAGAAAACAGCGGGCAAGCACGAAGACACAGGTGGTGGAGAGGAGGACAGAGAGGGAGAGGTGAGGAAAGAGGGACGTCCGGAGGCAGAAGACAGATAGATGGAGAGTAGTAGGGGGGAGGAAAATACGACGTATTTACCGACTGATTTACAAACCTAAGACAAGAGAGGGAGGGAGAGTGGATACAAACGGAGAGGGAGAAAAGGACAAATTAACAGAGGCAAGGACAATTGCAACGCTTCAACTGGTACCGCGTAGTCTACCCTTGCCGTATCTGACAGCAGCTGTTTCTTTCCTCGCGGAGGTTTGTTTCTTGCCGCTACCGGCACACATACAGCGTTACCTCACGCGGGAGCCTACCGCAGTACCTACAAGTGGCTTGGAGGGCGCCGCCGACAAACACGCACACACACACAAAAAAAAAGTTTAAATAGCATGTTTTGAGGACTACTTCATGGTTCGGTGCCCAGGCTGCTCGACACAGCTCACCGACGCGCCGCAAACGTGCATTATCAACAAGGCTATGCACGCTATGCCCTGTTGGGCTTCATACACCGCCTCACAGGAATTGAACGTCAGACGGAACAGAGCACAGCTTCGAGCTGATCATGACGAAACAAACCGCCGAACACACACGTAACTTGTGTGTTCCACGACACCGCCCAACCAAGCCGTGTCGCACATTCCAAGAAGTTGGCTCGACATCCATTCTTTGGCAACGATAGCTGTTGGCATTTGATCAATCAGGGATATGTGTAGTGCCAACGATCCCGAAGCTACTCACTGTCTTTGGCGGAGATTTTCCCTAGCTCTCGCGCGTCTAGACCGTGAGGGATGCTGAATCCACACGTTTCGCGAAAGAACGGTATGGCCCCAGGCGCCGCATACGTCCGCATGCAGTCTGCAGCATGTGCATGTTGTTCAGGGAGAGGCATTTCTCCCTCATCTCTCGTAGACTGGTTGGCGTAGTACACGGCCGGGCTATGCAATAGACGGCGTTGCTGAAGCGTGAACGCCTCGGTCCCATGTTTCGGTTTCGAGCCGATGAATCGTTTCCACGACCAATCGACCTCGGGGTGTGGGTGTTGCCCTCCCTCCTTCACACCCCATGCGTCGATTGGCTCACATTCGCTCAGATCACGAGGCAAGTTTGCCATGGTACGCCGTTAGGGTTAGTACCGTCCGCCCTACACCAGAAGAAGGGCTGTGCAACAGCATCGCGCCCTAATTTGAATTTTCGCCGCTCCGTGCCTAGAATTTACACCCCCACTCTTGGGTTTTTTCCAATTGTCCTATAACTTGGTCCGCGCCAGAATCCCAACTTGGAATTCCGGCGCCGGAATTTGTTTTTTCCGATGGCGCGATTCCAAAATCGGAATCCTTCCATAATAGTCGGCCTAACGACTACGGCATGCACGACTATGAGTACACCCCATCATTGAACTCTGTCGTCTGCCCCTCTGGCCCCTATCCTCCACTCCTACTAGCTAGACGACCCAACCGGGGTCACACAGGAGGCGGGGGTTGGACCCCCTCCTGCGGTTCCTGTCGAGTTATTTTTATCGCGAGTACAGCAATCCCTTCCCTCGCCAATTACTAACAACGAACGTTGCAGAGCGTCGCTTTCATCCTAGACCAGGATTAATCTAGAGAGAAAAAACTCATCTGCCGGGACTCGAACCCATGACCTGGCCCGTAGCAGGCTGCGAGGGTACCAGGAGTAGACCACCGGGGTATGTACACCAGCAGTAGATTACAATTTGATTCCGCTGACTTTTTTGTTTGCCTTCACGCGTCGGCGCAATGGTGTTCCCAAGCGACTTGTATGGCCCCCCTCATAAGAATTTCAGCAACTTGTACAACCAGGGTGAACCATCAATCAATGAGCCTCACCATGAGTCACTGCTGCGCGTGGGTAGGCAGGGATTGAGCTGCTGTTGCAGTGCAAGTGGTGTTGGCGCGTGCGGAGGCATTTCACGGGTGGGCTCGCAGAGGATATGAATAACTCACCCACTACGCAAACAATGACGGAGCCCCACCCGGGAATGCTGGCGAGCGCCGCTGCGACTGCCGACACAAGCCTCGGGAGGCGGACACAATACGTACAAACAGCCTGGCCCGTAGAAGGGAAGGGTTATTCCCCGCTACGGTGGGTGTGTGGAGAAGAGGAAAACCCCCTCTACTAAATTTACCGCATGCGAACATGGAATTTGAGGGCGAGGATCAGCGGACGCTAAACGAGCTAGTGAGGACGCTGAGCGGACGTCTAGATTTACTTATCGACGGGGATCAGCCCCCACACCAGAGAGCGGCCGGAGGAGGAGGGGGTGGGGGTGGGGGGGCATCGCCATCAGCAGAGGATGCCCGTGGCCCTTCCCCAAGCGAAGATGTGAGTAGAGGGGTAGGCAATGGGAGGGGTTCGGTTGGATTGGATTTACATACGGCATTGCATTGTTGTCCCGCACACAACGTGGTTTATTCCACACTCTGAACACATCGATTGCTTGGGGGTTCGGAATAACCAACCCGTTCCTCCCCCGTGTGTGTTTTCAATCCAAAAATCCCGTTGTCTCCCCTATACAGCGTCGTCGTGCTCTGTCTGACTAGCAGCGACAACAGAGTTGCCCGTCGAAAGATGCTTTTGTTTTTTGTGGCGATCGTTGTTTCGGTGTATCCGGCCCGGCACACATTTTCTAGAAGAACGAATAAGCTCTTGCCACAGCGGCTCTCAGACTCCGTGCCTGCCCGCCGCCCCGCCCGTTCCTTTTGCTCGGCCCGTCATGACAGCTTGCTAGCGCGATGATGCAGATTGTCCTCTTCTCGCTGATGCACGCTCGGTATGACACGCACACACACTACACGCAGTTCACGGACTAACGAGAGCGTGTTCACGGTTCTTGCCCCGCAGTGCACCCATCGTGCCGTGTAGTACGGTAAATGATTCCTTTCGAAGTAAATGATAACTCCGGGCCGGCAACGTCGCTTATATATAGTCATTCCGGAGACACTTGAACACACTGATGTGCAGAGAAGTGGTGCGATTTTCCAACCCTTTGCCTCCGCTTCCGCGATCGACCCCAAGCCCAAACTCTCTATCCCTGAAAACGTCGAAACCCAACCATATGTAGAGGTGGGAGCTTGGCAAGGTACGACAAGAAGCCGTACATAGTTTCTCGTTTGAATCACGTGCAAGCACACTTCCAACGTCTTCTCTCTAGCGCTACTAGGCCGGTTAGCGAGGTCAGTCGGCGCCGACGACAGAAACACCCACACAGCAGCAGCTGCTGCTGCAGGCGGTGGTGTTCCAGCAGTAAATGTCTTCATTATACAGGCGCTCAGACGACACACCCGTTTTTTTCTTTTTCGCCCTGCTTCTTGTTGCGTGCCGCGAACAGGAGCCCCCGGAGTGCCGCGTATGCCGCGGAGAACCGGAGCCCGGACGACGCCTTTACGCGCCGTGCCTCTGCAGCGGGTCCATCATGTAAGAGACGAAAAAGGGTCTCTCTCCCTCGTGTCTTGCCTGGCTCGGCTCAGACGTCGTGGCATTGGTAGTGCACTCAGATGGGGGCGAGCCATGCTCCGGTCGGTGCGTTGCAATCAACGGTGCCCGTAAATTTAGTCCGAGCGGGAAGGTTCGAGCGAAGACGAGGGAAAAGCTGAACCCCAGCGGATGTGTGCAAGGGTGGATGAGCACACAACACACATCGAAATAGTGAAGGGACAGAAACTTCTCCAACCGCAAAATACGCCGGCGGGGCTTGCTTGCGCACTAACTGAGTAGGCAGTTTTGAGTGCGGGCGTGCCTCGCCACCCAACCAACGCCACGAAGGAAGCGCACCCCTCGGCCTTGCGTGAACAGGCCTATTCACGCTCCATTTTTGTTGTGCGTTCCTCTTTGACGGCTTTTCGCATGGAGTACTGTACCCCTATCTGTCCTCAAGCTGTCTTCTGGGCTCTTTGGGAAGATCGAACGAAACAAAACATTACGCTTTGGCGCGGTTGATGTTCCCCCACATCACCAACTTGCACACGAAATAGTGGCATGTAGACAACACATGTGGCAGCGTTGATGCACACGCCTCAATTGCACCACGAAGAACGGGTGCAAGCATCGAATCCGTGAAAAAGTGTGGTACGAAATCGCGTCATACAGTTGTTGTTCCTTCAATCTCGTAATAACTTCTCGAAAACATCGTTCTTTGATATGTATGCCGCATGACACGAAAGGCACACCCACGAGGACTGCCTGCTGGAGTGGCTCCAGCACAGCGGGAAGGACACGTGCGAGCTGTGCGGGGCGCTCTTCCGCTTCACCCCCGTGTACGACCCAGGAGCTCCCACGTGTGTGCCGTTGTATCAGGTGCGTGTAGTTCACCCCCCCCACCCCACTGTTGGCGTTCCGCTCATTTCTCGTTCTGGCGCGGGCCGATGTCTGCAGCCATTTGACCAATTCCTTCCTATCTGTTCCGATTCCCTCCCCGGCATTGTAAAACACGTGGTGTTGGCCTTGCTCGCGGACTTGCGGGTTTGTGTGGGAAGGGTATCCCAGAAATGCCGCTTTGTCCTTTTTTCGGCTTGCCAGTGTTGAATCGGTTTATGTGCACACCTCTGCGGCTTGCTCAGTAAGACGCAGGCAAACGACCTACTCCGTACCATTACATGGTTGTTCATGCTTGGACATGAAGTTGCACACGTTCTTGCAACCCACGCAAGATTAAACGTTACGGTATGTCGACGGCCTTGTCTCCCTTGAGTGTGTAGCTCCGAGCGTAGTCTTCGAGTATTGTAGCAAGAGGCCGCAGGAGCGTCCAACCAGTGAGAGTACAGCAGTGAAGAGGTTCGGGCAGATCGGCGCTGCAAGAAACGTACACCGGCACGTCGCGATCTCGTCAAAGTTGTGGCAGACGTCGTGCATTGCGCGCGGGCTCTTTGTTCCGTCCTGTGTCGAAGCGAATCGCAAAATAAACGGACCGGTACACACGCCTCAGGTGCTGACCACGTGCGGGAGGAAGGTGATGGTGAAGTGGCTGCCGCTTTGCCTCCGGGTCCTGATGGTGGCGGGGCTGTGGCTGCTCTTCGTACCCGTGTGTACCAGCTGGCTGTGAGTACGGTGGTGTGCCCGTCGGCTGGGGGAAAGGGTAGGGGGGATGTTAGCGGAGCGCGATCCTGCACGATGAGTCAAGCGCGTTCCAAGAAGAAGACGGAGGTGACAAGCAGCCTCGTGGAGGCGTTGCACAACAAGCAGCTACAACTCTCTTCTTCGTTGCTGACGTGTACCTATTGCTTGCCAACCTTTTTGTTTTTTGTATCTTGCGCCGTCTTGTTCATTTTGTTTGGGTACTATTCGGCGCGGCTTGAACGTTCCCCCGTTGGTGCGCTGTGGTGTGGTGTTAAATCGCCCGGGCGCGAAACGCAGGTACCGAATATGGATCCACCGGACAAGAGTGCTGCTGCCGCAGCTGTTCCTCCAGCGGCTGAACATGGCGTGCATCTGGAGCGACTGCATCTCCGGCATCATCGTCACGGCGGCTATCATCCTGTCTTTCCTCTCCTTGATGACCTTCGCGGACTTCCTCGCCGACCAGCTTCTCAGGTGTGGGCGGCTGTTCTTCTCTTGCATGGTGTGAACTCTGTGTTGTGAATGGACCTCTGTACGCCGGCCCGTCCGTGTTGGCTTTAGTTGTTGGTTTGCTCCGCGAGAAAGTGGCCAATATCCTAGCCGTACCTAAACTTGTTGTGATACTTGTGTCTTTGTTTCGAAAAGCCCCCTGACAAACATGTGCGGTACCCTGGTTGCGGCCCATCCCGCCGAGAGTCAATTTGCCGCGTCAAATATTTGACCGTTTTTGTGCACACGGGAGGAGGGGTTCCAAGGCCTAGAATGTAAACGGTGGTCTGGCACAGGAGGGGAGTAGGACATGCAGCGGGCGGAGTCTTTTTCAAAGCGTGCTCATCCTTGCAGCATGTCTTGTGTTCTCTCATCACCCCATCACATCGGACTGCATTCCACGGCAGCGGTGCCGCGAGCGATGATCCGTCCAGTGGTGCTCCCGATTTCTCCTCCTCCGCATTCACCTTCTCTGATTTTTCTCATTCGTCCCAACCTCCCCCTTCCGCGCGCGCTTTCTCTCTCTCTCTCTCTCTCTCTCTCTCTCTCTCTCTCTCTCTCT